GGGCGGGGCTTAAGCTTAACGGGCGGATCCACATTTGCATTTCGGCATTTGCATTTCTCGCAGCGGCCGAAATTGAAAGCAATATGCCGTTTGCCTCATACCTAGGCGGCGGAACGGAGGCACCGGGGCACCGTGCCCCCTTGATTTTGCCATTTTAACATTAGCCCTATGGGCGTTGCATGGTAAGAATGGGACCGAAAGTCGGCAGTGCCCCCCCCCCCCCTTCCTAATCGAAGATGTTCCGCCGCTACTGGTTTGTCATACCGTAAAGTGGGGCTATTTGAGACAGTGGGGCTATTTGAGACAGTATTTAAAATCGTTATAAAATGAAGAGCGTTTGATTTTTATGTGATATTTTTGCTCAGGAAGGTGTCGAATCGAGCAGTAAATCGCCTGAGCAAAAATAAAGCATGAATTTCAAACGGTTTTTATTTTATAGCAATTTTAAATACTGTCTCAAATAGCCCCACTGTCTCAAATAGCCCCACCTTACGGTACCCTCGATAAAAACTGTTATGTGCCTAGGATCGCACGTTTGTTTTGATTCATGTCTAATCTTTATTTGAATAGGTTATAGGTAATCGAATGAACATGCAACCAAAATCAAAAGTTGTCTTTTTCTTAACTCCTTAGATTTTGGTGCCTTATGCACTGCTGAACAATTATAGTTGTGTAAAAAAAAAACAGTATAAATTTCAAAGTACAATATGAGTGTTATCACCATACCCCCAGGCCAGTACCTGCTTCGTTGTTGTTACAGTTGCACAGTGCACCGCAGGCCGACATCTTTCAGTACGGGACGGTCTTCACGGGAAAGGTGCACGGTCGAACATCGACAAGTGGCGCCTCTAGCGGCCGGAGGTGTAAATACTCAGCCAACCTCTGAGTCTGGACTGACGCTCCAGTCTGGCACCTATCGGCGATCGGCGACTCGCCCCGGACCTCTCGCCCCGTCCCACGGCGATTGTTTGGCAAAGGACTCTGCGCTGACTTCCAGGACGACGTCTCGAAGGAGTCGCTAAGAGGTCAGCCGGGGAGAGCGCTGGTTCTCCCGCCCTTGAGAGCGGCGGTTTGGGCCGCGTTTAGCGAGCGCGCATTGTTCGCCGCCTCTCTATAATCCCTTTGTGGTGGGGCCGGAGTCGAACCGCACAAAACCACCTCTCTCGACCAAGAATGTGCCGACAAAAGCGCGCAGAAGTCCACCAAATTGACGGCCAAAACTAGCGGTCGAGAGTGGCGCAATTAAAGAGATCAGCGCCTCCTACCCTTCGACGTGATAATAACAACAATCGTTTAGCATTTCCCACGTTGGCGGCGCCATTATCACATTCCAGACTGCGGCGAACCGGGCCGATTGAATTGGTAAAGGCCGATGATTACACGATGCTCTCTGCGGGCTGTCGGCGCCGGCCTCAGGAACAGGATGTTATGCTGAGAGGAGCGGTGGTTCGCAGCGCGGCTCAATGAAGGAGGCGGTGGGCGGCGAGAGGCAATCACTGCGGTCTGATATTCCAGCCGGTCAGCCGGCCGGCGATGGAACGAGAGCGAGATTGAACAGGGGCTCATAACGCGGTGGGAAGAACGGTTTGTGGAAGCGTGACTATGAGTGTTTGAAATAGTCACACCAGTCCTATCGAATTTGTTGTACTGAGCATGCGAAATGCAAGCCGTGCACTGCTTCAGCTAGTGTGTGCAGAAAGGGAAGTAGGTCGGTAGCTCTTTGCTGCGACTTGGAGTTAGCGAACAATGCCAGAAATACCCCGCATTGAAACTAAAATCGACGATGGCAGCGCAACTACCAACATTCATTTACGCTGCAATTGTGAGCACAAAACAAACATTCCACAGTGACTTCACAGCGGCAGTCATTATAGGAACCGATCAAACGGCGGAACAGGCATCAATAAAGGACCGGCACATTTGCGGTATGTCAGACATAACAGTCCTGTCCGACAGCCCCAATAGTCGTGTTATCGGCGTTCCAGGGTCCAGAGATTCCAGTGCGGAACACCTGGTAGACAGCAGACAGTGGACAGCGGACACTGGGTATCGGGATCGGACAAACGTGGATGTCAGTGTGAGTCTCACAGAACAATCGACCGCGCGTATCTGCGGTTTTCCGGTTCACTAGACTGAGTCTGATCTCGCGAACATTATCTGAACATCAGTTCATGTTGCGGATGACACACTCACGAAAGCGGTCATCAAAGTCCTGCACTGCGAATGACATTCCAAAATGAAACAGGTAACCAGTTCGTTAGGAGCCCTCAGTGATATTTTACATTGCACTGTGCCGTAGAGAGGCATTAGTTTTTGTTAGAGGGAACTATTGATGATCTTTCGTTAAATAAGACTGTATGAACTTATGGCACCGTACAAATGGCTTATTAAATCTGACGCTAAATAGGGAAGCTTGAAGAATGGATAAATGATAAAAAGTGACCATGAAGAGAAAATGAAGAAACCTTGCGACTTTATTGAGTTCCATGCTATTCCACGATTTCTTCTGTTCCGTTACAGTGTATCCATTCAGTGGAAAATAAAGCTACTATCGCACATTTTCCGTAAATACCTAATACCTTTCAATTAGTTTTTGGAGACGAATATTATGATGTAATGAACACTGTCAAACAAAAGTCACTCAATTTCAAATGAACGTTAGAATAAATGACTGTCTTTTATGGAATGTTTAAGCATTTTTGTTCAGCGCCTTTTCTGGTATCGCCTTTTGGTAAATATATATTTTCGTTGTATCGTTGCGAAAAGAACACTATAGGTGTAACTCTCAACATACATGCCGCTTAAAATATACAGTGTCATCTTATCAACTAAGTGCCTCAGCAACAAGCAACCCAGGCACACTGCAGAGCCAATGAGACTGATTACACGCATTCAGCAGACTCAAAGTACTGGTTACGTGACTACCGCCTGAGGCGTTGTGTACGCCCGGGGTGACCTATCCCACCGGCTGCATCCAGGGCTGAGGCCAGTCGATGACGACAATGAATTGTTTTGAACAAGCTCCCAAGCACATTGCTTGTTCCCAAACACATTGCTTGGGAACAAGCACATTGCTTGGGAACAAGCAATGTGCTTCTTCCTGCCACAGGAAGAAGCACATTTTTCTGGTGTTAGTCGAATCTATAGATGCACGCACTTTAAAGGTAGTGTGCCACCTTTGAAAGATTTCCCATTTTATTTTTCCTAGGATAAGAAGCTTCTGTTTTTACCTAATATCGCAAAAAAATCAAAAATGGGCCTGGAATAGTGCCTTTTTGGCCTAAAAGTTTATCGGTTTTTAGATATGTATAACAACTGTAGTGGGCTCACCTGCAAACAGGCGTCAGGCAACAATCGCGAATGCGGCGCACTTGTGACAATAAGCAAAGGTCATTATAGTGTTACGACCATACGACGTACGGGAATGAGTTATCAGCTGTCTAATCGTAGACAACACAATGTCGAGCCTTAAACTGTAAGCCCGTATTGGTATTGTTTCTTTTATTTGGCTGTCGAACATTATTTATGGTTTGAAATATGATTTTATGTAAAATAATTGATATGAAAAAGCCGTCTTATAAGTTATGACCCCATTTCACCACACGCAAGTGGCAGAAATGACAATGATCAGCTGACGCATTTTTCTTGGCCGAAGTCAGAGCGCGCAGCCCGACGCACCACGCGTATTTGGAAATTCCGACCTCGACGAGCATCAGAAGCCACCTAACAGGCGTGTTCGAAACCGCAGGAGATGATGATGAACGGGTTTATCGAAACTTGATTGGATGAGCCTATCGGTAATAGCGATTTTAGTATGTGCATTTATTGTTCATAGTGGTGTGAAATGTGGTTGGGGTACGACCGACAACCCGTCGGGGCGAATTTCGCACTGGGGTACTCAAAATTTGAAGAATTTAAGACGTTTCCATGAGTTTTGAAGGTATGGATAAGTTCTAAAAATCCGGTTCTCCTTACCCGGGTCATTAACTCCATATGGTCCAGGAAAGCTGGCACACTACCTTTAACTGCTAGTAAATGTGCTGAGTGTTTCCAGGTGGTAGTTGAGTGTTAAGTGTCTGCAGTGTGTTTGCGTTCTAACTTCGTGGCTCAAACACCTACAAATATTTATTATAGGTGTGAAAACATCATTCATTTTTGGCAAAAGGACATAGGTGCTTAATTGTTAAAGTTGAAGTTGAAATGTGTGCGTGATATTCAAGGTGTGCTGTCGTCACTATTGGTCTCAGGACCAGGGTTTCAGCGACTAGCAGTTCGGATGCGAATGCGGCAAGCAACTTATTCTCGCCCTCACTGTTGGGCGAGGTGTATGTAGTCGGCCGGAGTCTGAAGCCCAGGCTTCTCGGACACAAGCGATCGTCTCCTTTCATATATGTACAAACCTATGTAAAATGCAGTCACACAAAGGCGGCGAATGGCTATTTATTTCACCGACGTCGCCGCTCACGGAGCGGGCAGGGAACAGGGGACTTGATGGCGTGATGCTCTATAGATGACACGTGGTTTCACACTTGTGATTACACATGTTTTCTGTGAACCTTTTTTATTTATCCATGAACGGCATGTTCTGATGCTCGGAACAATTGAGAGTCGTTACATTTTGGTCAGTTTTTTTTGGCCCTGGCGTGTGGGTGCGACCAGAATTTCCCAGTGTTTGTGATGTAGACCTTTATAAAATTAACTTCGTGATTGATAACATTGATAGTAACAACTCTTTATGATCACTTGCTAGGTGAGTATACTGAAGAAGCACGAAACTAGAACAGTGAAAAATCAAGAGCTTCAGTACATCACACCAAACTACTCTTCACTGTAGGTGGCTACTGGCTAGTTGGACGGCCTACATTTAAAATCGCGATGCTTTACTGTCGTTGAAGAAGCGCAAATGTGTTCGAGATCTAGTTTATGAAGACGACTTCCAACCGATGTCATTTGCTAGTCAAACAAGCTTCGCTGCCCCTCGCCATCCTCACACACGCGGCTCACTAGTGCAGGAGATGTATTTTGTTTGCCTGTGACATTGACCCGAGACGACCAAAACGCACATAAAGGTAACAATCAATGATCAAATGCGGTTGTGATGCTATAAATATACACACATCGTCACATTGTGACCAACAACATATCTGTACAGCTCACACGCTCAATACACGATACACAATACACACACACAAAATACACACACAAAGGACACGCGTAATTCACAAGCAGTGTTTTACGCACACCAACTGGCGCCGATTTCGCCACGATTGCGCAGCGACTGGCTCGCTGCCTTCTGGAGAACACTGGTGGGTGGGCGACCGCGCGCGCGCGCCCCGTACGCGAGCGGGCGCAAAGGGCGCCAAGCCGGGACTGTGCGAGTGTGACCGGGGCAAGACCGAGAACAAAACGCTACACGGCAAAATAGAGCTCTCCAAAGCGTAAGCCGCGTCCCGCGCCGGTCGAAGTGATCACGCTGCCGAGTACCTGCGATGAAGAGAGAAAACGGAAGGTTAGCGATATGACGATGGAGAATGGCAAACACGAGTGTCAGCTATAATGATATGCATCAAACGGTACATCTATAACCATGGTTTGCAGCATAACAATTTAATTTTAGATTTATTTACAATCTTTCGGTTTTAAACAATAGCTCACACGAGTTAACAGCAGCCAGCAGGAAAAGTCTCGCAAAGTTGCTGTAAAAGTATCTAAAGCTGAGCTTGCCGTATCAACCCTGAACCTGCCGTCCGACCCAGCAGGAAGTCGTTCTCACCTTTATCTATGGTCGGGACGGTCGCCGGAGGGCGTGTCCTCCCCGACGCTGACGTCCGACTCGGCGCCGTCATCCGAGTCGGCATGGTGCCTCCCCTCGACCGGCTGCGTGGACCCGTCCTGACCGCGCATGGACAGATCCAGGCCGACGCAGTCCGAGGGCGCGGGCGAGTCCACTGACGCGGCGCGGGGGAGGACGGGAGGCGCGAAGGCGCTACGTTCGCTCTGGATGCTGGCGGTCGGCGGCACCGCCGGGTGTGGTGGGGAGGGGCCGGAGCAGGGTCGGGGGGATGGGGGCGGAGAGCCAAGGGTGGTAGCGTCCGAGCCAGGGGAGCCAGGGGGGCCGAAGCCCGGCTGGTCCTGAAGCATGTTCATGCGCTGGTGGCGTCTCCACTTCGCTCGTCTGTTGGAAAACCAAACCTGCCATTAGAGAAAACAGAGTTACCTATTTTATCCCCTACCCAGTGACTTCTTATCGCAAAGTTGCAAACATGCGCTGCACAATGTAAGTGAGCCCCGGCAAAGCAAAATGAGCTGGTAATTAAACCGCATCTGGCTCATATCGACTGATCAAGAAGTTGAGGCGACAGCAACAACTGAGATTGCGTCACACATTATCGGGGCCTTAATTACGTCGTTTGTTGAACTAAAGAAAATCAATCGAACAACGACTGTCACTAAGTGCAAACGAACCGTTTACCACTCCCTTTTGTGTTTTTTACATTCAAAACAGTCCTAGCTTCCCAGCCAGTTCTACGCAACGACTACCGCAGTCAAACCGAAACTAATGATGGTCGCTTCAACGACACAATGCACCCATAAAAACTCCTCAGCCGTCTGAGTAGCTTGAGAAAGAGCGGCGAAACAAAGCAGTCCCTGGCTACGCTGTGGTTGGCAGCCGAGAACACAAAGGCTGCGCAGTGCGCATCCATCTTAGTGGCATCAGCGGCACAATTGCGCACCTGAGCATTCAAGCTAGTGGTCTGACTAAGCCACCCTGCCTTTAGGCATCACATAACAGGCAAGTTTTCGAGCAGCGATGGAGACTTTTCGCTACCTAATATGCATCCCTAGCCTAGTACTGTGTACCGGCCATAACGAAACCCCAGATAACACTGGAGTCATAGCTTGATGTGATTTTCTCGGGGCGAGCACGGCCATCCCGGCTTAGTTGGTCTCCGGGACCGCGGCGGCGCGAGGAGTGGCGGGAGTTAGGCGTGCACCGTTCGGCTGTCTCCCGCTGAGCTGTGCATCGAGAGCCAATCAGGGACCTCTCAGACACGGTGTCGGCCAATCACCGCCCACGGTACTGCGCTGTGACGTCATCCGAAGAGCACTGGACATCCCAGACATGGTTGAGCTATGCTGATGTTGGCTGAGATCTGAGATCTACCTATTGTAGCCAAATGGGATGCATTCTGCTCGTGGGTGAAGCTGGCGTTTTGCCTCAAAATCAAGCTGACTTCTGGTCCCTAAAATAATTCGCAAAATTCAAATTTTGGTAGCTCAGTGATCACAAGCTCAGCTCAGACGTTTGGGTTTGCGAATCCACTGTCCGTCTCCATCGCTTCCTCTCTCACTCTTCCTTCATCGCTCCTCATCCCTTTCGCCATCTTCCTCGACACTTTAAAACTCTTACTTATCTCCCGCCACCCTAACTCGCTCTCTCCCTCTTCCTCGCCCCGGCCGGTCGTGTCGTGGAGGGTCTCTGACTCTCCCACCCCCTTTTCTCGCCCTCTCCCTCTCCCTCGCCCTGACCGGTCGTGTCGCAGTGGGTGTCGGACGATATGAACGTAGGTCGGACCAGACCCTAACGCACTTGGTCACGAACCGGGCTGCCACTCGTTACTTATTCACGCTACTCCCCGAGCGGCCGAGCCGCGCCACCGACGGTTAATTAATCAACCACGCCGGGCGTCAACGCATCGGGATCACTCTAAAATACAAATATTATCTGATGCGGCGCACGCCATCGCCGCGTCGCGCCGCGTTCGGCACGCACGCGCCGTTTTTGTCGAGCTCTGGAGACGGTTTGTTTTTGGCCGGGCGCAGAAACGGCTCGCGTTCGGTTAATGAGCGTCCGAGGTCGGATTGGAGGTGCGATAGGCGCGGCCAGTGGACGGCCCGCACAGGTGCCCGCCCTGCCGCCGTGACGGGCCGACTGACACCTCCGCCAGATGGGCCCGATCGCACCCGATGCAGAGAGGTAATTATTTCAATCAGACGCAACGCTTACGGCTGTACGGCGGCGCAGCCTCTCGCCTTCATCGATTTCCGGCGACTCGTTTTGAGTGACAAGCGTGTCGTTTGATAGCGAGCTATCTCTCCGGTCGGTCAATTAGATTCATTCAATCAGATTCATTCAGAGCGATCATTCATTCTCATCCCGTCAGATCCAGTCACACGTCACATACGTGACCACCACAGAGCACCCCTCCCCCTCCCCTTCCGGTCCAGTCCCGGGCAGCTTTTTCTGACTCTCCACTCTCACCAGAACTCACCTGAACTCGTGCCTCTGAGAGGGCCGTGCGGCCGGCCAGCCGCTCGCGCGCGTTGACGCACGGGTAATGAGTCTTCTCGAATTCTTTCTCGAGCTCTTCGAGCTGCTCCTGGGAGAAAGTGGTGCGGTTCCGGCGGAACTTAGGCTGCTCGGAGTCAGAGTCGGCGCCGCGACTCGCCTCCACCTCCCTTCGTGACTCGCTCTCTGTGGAGGGAGAAGGAGCTTGTGAGATTAAAAGTGCTAAATGGACTGCAAAAATAGGTGCGATATGAGATTCAATCATGTGATGCTTAAACATGATCGAAAGGTGCGTAACGGTTAATGATCATCCTTCCTCGGCAAACGACCCCATTTATTTATGACTTTTTTATGTGTTTGCCGCAATGCAGCCAATCTTACCAAATAGCGCATTTGGATATTGGTGCTATCGCGGATCATTTATAATAACATACTTGGCCTGGTGAGAGCCAAGTATGTAAGAGCCAACAGACTGTTGCTTTCTCATTAATAAAAATAAATAAAGAAATGAATACAGTAAATAAATGCAAATAAAGTCTTATTTTCTAGTTCATGTTAATGACAACTGAAGCTCGACGAATGCCTATAAAATCTCAATCACACTCTATCTAGGGAAGATCCGTCCGTGCGGTGCCAGCCCACTCGGGCCCCGGACCGCGGGCGGTGACGGGTCCACAGAGCCGACCCGGTGACACAGGGCCGGTCCGCCGGCGAGGGGTCATCAGTCACCGGGCCAGAGGGCCGCGACCGCGACTCCACCCGACCTGCCCGCCGCACGCAAAGGCTCCTCCGCCGCCGCCGCCGCCCCCGCCCGCGCCGACCGCTCAGCGCGGCGGGGCGGGCCGGCGCGGGGCGGCGTTTGCAGCGCTGCAGCGCGCCGCATTGGTCGCAGCGCAGTGCAGAACGCCGCCCTTGTCGCGCCTATCAGCTGATCGTACAACAAACGTAGGATTTGACGGTCCACCCGATCAATTATCCCCGAAATTACAAGCTTGTTAGAGAAAGCATTGAGGACCGCAGCTCTACACCTCTTCATTAGCGCCCGGCTATAACTCAGCGGCCGATAACGTCAGGTCAAATGAAATCATTAGATGGATAATTAGCCGGCGACATTAACCGGATGGGAATTTATAATTGGATTCGGGGCGGACGGGGCCGTCGGCTACGGCCGCTTATGTCACCTCCGCGTCGGAGCCGTCTCGTCGGGCGGTGCGCCGCGTTTGGCGCCGCCGCGCCGCCGCTGTCACACTAAAAGCCCGGTGAAGCATGGTACGGCGCGGTTCGATGCGGCTGATAGTGGTCACCTGCTCAGCATCCAATTAACTTTACGAGCGGCGGCCGCGCCGTCCGCCGGTGTCGTCAGGTAGTAAAGCACGGAGTCGACGCGGCGGCGACGGTGTCGGCGGCGGCGGCGGCGGCTCCTCTGATCGTCCCGCGCCGGGCGCGCTGGGCGGACCCGGCCCTGTAACGATACTGCCGGCCGCCCGCCTGCCTGCAGTCGGCTGATCGGGCCACCTGTCGCAACCCACGCATAGGATACTACACCGTGTGCAAGATGTTAGTGACTATACGGTGACTTTTGCCTAGTAAGAAATTTCACTAACGGTAAGTGAAATTAGAAAATCCACAGCCGGAAATGTAAATTAAAATGGATGAATCAAAGTGAAACGCTCGAAATCAGTGGTGTCCTATGTTTGATACTTGAGCAGCCGCCGTCATCTTTGAATCGTTATCTTCTGTTTCGATCATCAGATCTTAAACATAAACTCAGGCGAGCTGTCCCGCATCCTCCAAATCTCCACAGCTCTTTAAGATAACATGACACTTCAGGGGATCAACACACAATCAACTGCGCCGCATTTGTGAACACCGGATCTGCCCGACTCTCACCCGGGTCTCAATTGTCTCGAGTACCTGCTGTGGCAGCTCTAGACCCGCTCATAGAACATGCTCCAGCGGCGGCCGCCCGCCCGGATTTTGTCTCGCTCGAGCCGTCGGGAGGCGACGTCAAGTATGCTCGGTCGTCGCTCGCCGCGGGACCTTTTGAAGTCGGGATTCGAAGAGCAAAGCCGGGCGCGCTCATCCGTATCGTATCGTGATGAGCGGCGCCGGGATGCGTCACGGACAGCCGAGACTTGATTGGCGCCGGGCGTGACTGTTGGATTCGCCCAGCCAGATGGATCCAGAGTAAGTGTTCAGAGGAGCTCGCGAGCGCTCCGGTTTGACATGTGCCTCTGATAGGAATCTGAAGGGAGGTCGCTGCGACGGCTAGAAACTAACTTATGCTCACTAACCCCGAAATCTCTTGTAGACGTGAGCTTAAATCAGACAATGGCGGACATGATGGCCGACAGGTTTTGTCGTTTAGAAACGTCGAGTTCGTGCACCGGAAACTTAAGCTTAATTAATTTGTTCATGAATTTAATATTGATTGTTTTGTTTCAAATCGGATTGCATTTTATCTGCTTTGGCTCATCTTAGGTTCTTTATTATTCACGAAGCAATAGAACTTTTGTTCTAATTTAGGCACACCGTTCCCGTATCCCCACTCACCGTCTAGGCTCGGTTTGGGCGATGTCGAGCTGGCCGAGGAGGCCGTATCCCCTGCCGGAGGGGTGACCGTCAGTCCCCCGCCGGTCGCCGGGCTGGGGGTGGACAGATTGGGCCACACGGCCGGCGGGTACGGGAGAGCCGACGCGTACGGATGGTAGAACCCGTACCCGGCGGCGCGCGCAAACTCGGCTGCCGCGCGCTCGGCGGCCCGGTTGCGCAGGATTCGGTTGATGCTGCTCACACTGGGAGCCGTGTTATTGGTGCAGACACCTGCAAATGGAGAGAGAACAGAAGAGTTAGAGGTCACTGGGTCCGGGGTACGGGAGGTCATGGTGAAAGGAGTGGGTAGTGCTCGCTACTGTTCCGTTCCGGCTGTAGCTTTTGGTCATTTGGTGCACCAGGACATACGAAAATGAAACGGATTTTAGGGTAGGCCGAATGTTGATAGCATCTAGCTGTATTTCCGGCGAAATAACCGATTGTTTATCTCATGTCATTCGAAGCTAACCAGTCAAGCACTATTCTCCAGGCTCATAGACTTTTGCAATGTTTTTAGAAATATAATTTTGATCATGAAAACGTTTTGAAATCAATGCTGTATCTGGTTGGACTACGAAACATATGCGAACGACTCACGAGTGAGCAGTATAATATTGGCGATGAAGCACGCATATTTCTCTTCTTGTTTTACTGTTTGCTCTCGGTCGACGTCATCCAATATCGTTTATCATCAACCATCCTCGCACCGATAGTGCACATTCTAAGAGGGTGTCTGGCTGACCAATACCATCGAGACAGACTGGTTCATGTGCCACGGGTCCGCGTATACTCAGTGTACCAGAGGACCGCCATTTGTTGCAGATCGTGCAGATAACTGAAGTCGAACAGTGATTGCATGTCGGGTCGGTGGGAATGTGCAACAATAGCTAACGCCTGTAAAAGATGTGTTAGGCAGCCAGCGACATGGGCTTAAACGAGCGAACCAGAGGGAAATTGAGATAACAGCAAAAAATATTTACGGGAAAATGTTTGCCAAATGAACATTTAAAGCGATATTCAAGGTGTAAAACAAACAGCGTACAAGCATGTAGGTACATTGTACACTGCATTACAAAGAATCGCAAAACTTCACGGGGTTTCCAACGGTCTATGATTTAAGTCAGGTTGTATAAATAATACCGGCAAAATTCATATAATGAGGTATAGGATAGGAATAATGGCACTATACCCAAGGACAGGTAATACAAAGATGATAGAGAAAGATATAAGCAAATTCACTTGTAACCAGGCGTTTATTTGTCTAATAGTTTGGAAGTTCAGTTGGAACCAAGAGAATTCGACTACATGTACTTCAGTCGTTTTTTGGAAATGTTTGTGCAAAGGCGTGTTCTGGTCATTGGACAGTGGACAGCCGGTAATATTTTACTAACGTCAAACTCGCTATATCGCTGAGCTTGGCCTTTTCCACAGCCTACATCGTAAATAAGCAAAAAGACACGCTGGAAATGAGAAGATTAACAGTGTGTCTTACACTTCACGTGCAGTGCACCGTGCTTACTGCCGTTCAACCGTGCCTGTGAAATATGTCCACTGCATGTTCGAAATAGGCATTCACAGAAAAACTCCACGCCTTTATGTCCAGGAGACGCTGGGGGCGAGTAGCTCACCCCGGCGCCACATCAGATCTGATAACTGGTCAGTTCCGGAGAAATGTCGCGATTGCATGATCGGTCCGGCTGTGTGGTCGGGAAGTTTTCACGGCGCCGCGAGCCGACACGGCCGGGGGCGGCCTCTACTGGCCGCCACTTGTCGGAAAACGGACCCGGCTCGATGCGGGCGGGGCGGTGGGAAAGCCTCACCCTTCCTCCTGCTGCCCTAGTGCTGCGGCTACCCACCGCCAGTCACCAGCCTCCAGCTCTCCAACCTCCAGCTGCTCACCGGCCCACTCACTGCCCTTTTAACTACCTCCCTAACCGCCGGGCCCACTATCCGCACCCACCCACCAACTCCGACACACATGGAGTCATCAGCGGATGCAAATGGCTGCCGGTGACACTGGTGACGTCTGTGACATCACTGACGCAGCCGGGCTGCTGATGCACGCCCCTCAGAGTGGCACGGGACGGCGACAAGCCGGCGGCCGCAACTCAGCATCGGCCGACGTCACTTAGGCGTGCTGTGCAAATTAGCACGATTCGACTGTGCACTTAGGGCGCGGGGGATTAGGGGGCGCGCGGGCGTCGCAGCCTGATTGGATATTCTGTCCGATGTGACTGGGCGCGCTGACTGGGCCCGGACAAAGCGGCTCTGAACGCTGACAATGTTTTCGGCAGATAAGCGATGTTCGAGATTAAAAGGCTGCAGATGAGGCAATTTATTTTCAACGTGACTCACAATGAGACGTAGATTCGATACATGCTCTTTAAAAACGAATGTTTTAGTAAAAGCATGGGACAAAGTTCGTAGTACCTATAGCGTTACCTATAGGCATACCCATTATAGGCATTTAGGCATTAACGGTAAGCTCAATACAAAGAAAGCCAATTCGGTAAAACAATAAAGCATATTAGTCAGGGGAAGGAGGCCCAATTTTGGGCCGAATAACGCAAAATTGGGTAGAGCTTAGCAAAGGGTGGTTTCTGGGACAAAAATGACCGCTGAATCCGAATCTGACCGGTGCGCACCTCTAACTAATGTTGCACCACTTCCAGAGCACGTGCAACTGCGTGGTTCATCTTTTTTGGAGAATGGTACCTTTTTAATGAATTGCAGTGTAACGTCGTTGATATTTGAGATATTGTTTTGAGATTTTGTCCCTGTGCTACAAACACATGGCGTAATTGAAAGCTGAAGTTTTGCAATGTTCGGGCAGCCGATGACGTCACCGTGACGTCATTTACCTATAAATGAGTTGAAAAAGTCGTCTTGTCCTTAAAGCATTTAACTTTATTCCCGTCGTATGCAAATCAGGGAAGGGAAAATAATCAAACATGATCTATGAACATTTCTGAGTCGGATCATGCTAAAATCGTTTTTGCAGAGGTACATGTGAGTCACATTGAGAACGTGACAGTCCAAGTCACCACCTGACAAATTTGGTCAAACTGGATGAAGTAGCACAGCAGATTGATGAATCACGTGAAATAGGATATTTTTATATCATTTTTACCGTGTTCTGGCGCTGCGGCGGCATTTAAATCCAAATACTGTTGGCGTTGAATTGACTAAATATCGTTCCTTTGGTCTTATTTATAGTTCAAATTATATAATTTTTTATTTATTTCAAGTAAATATTCATTCTTATGATTTATGAATAACGGAAAGTCAGCGTGGGTTCAGCTTAGTCGTTACGTGCGTTTGGCTACCGATAAAAAAATGATCCAGAATTGTGCTTGTCATGAAGACTGGGAAAGAAAATAAGAAGCTGTGGTTTATCAAAAAGGGCAAAAATCACCTTTGTAAGAAAGTGAAATATCTTAGATATTTGAGGCAAACAATCCAAGATCGAAGCGAGACCACACGATTGACGATGCAGGAACAAAACAGTACCTACAAAAATGATCTGAAACCGAATGCCTCCTCATAAACCTGTTTTGTGTGAAGTGCATTTTCTTGGGACTAGGGGAAGGAGGGTGAATTGCGCCACCTTAAGGAAAAACGCTAATTGTGAGAAAACCGCTGGAGATATAAGCATGCATTGGTGACCATTTCAAAGAGGAACTCATTGGCTACGATTTAAGAGCCTCCCGATCAATTAAGAATGTTCGTTTGCTTCTGACAGCTGCTTTTTCAGAAACATGTAAAAGGGCGCATTTGCCAGCAACTGCTGTAAATTGCGCCAGGGGGATGGCGCAATTAGAACCCAATTGCGCCCTATACTTTAACATGGCTAAGCGAATGAGACGGAATGCATACACCCCGGCAGTCTAATCTCATTGCGGCTTACTTTAACATTCATAATGTTATTCACGCTGGTTAAATAATAAATGTAGGTGTAAATCGCGATGTTTTTTGCCCAGGTAGATAACTTTACATGTGTTCGTACGCTTGTAAAAGTGCAACAAAAACGTTTACTGTAACCGACTAGATATATGTGAACGTATGCGCCTATACGGTTACATTTTCAATCGTTTCTCTCGAAATTAATAATTTTTATTGTTTCGACAGCTTTATGACATCAGTTTTTACTTTTTTATCATAGCTGTCACCTCCCACGCCTGAGTCCATGTTGAAAATGTCGTATTTTGTCAATTACACCAAAAGTTCGTAGCCTAAATGGCAGCTGCATTATAAGTTTGACGAGAGAAATAATTTGCAGACTGACGACAGCGGGCTGCTCCCCTGCCTGACATTAAACTCCTTCCTTATTGCAATCAGTTAATGATGCATTCATGCTGTCGTGATACAATAGCTACACCATCATTCTATTTGCGCCCCCCTGGCGCAATTGCCATGGGCGCAATTAAAATTGAGGTACTTTTTAATAAAAGCGTGGACGTTATCATAAAGATGTTGAAGGAAGTTAAACTGTTTTAGTGAAATATAATGAAAAAAGGGTTCTTCATTCTAAATATCACTCTGAAAATCACACAAATATCACACATTTTTATAGCCAACGGTTCAAAATACTGCAAAAAAGCTAAGAAAACGCCGTAACATGTTTGATGGCGTAATGAGCCTTGCTGATTGGCTTCATCGAGGAGCTTGGGCCATAAAAGGAACTATCCAGTGGGAAAAATAATGTTTTCGAACACAAAATTCAAAACATGCCATTGAATCCGTGGGAACGTTGGTGGGCGCAATTGGTTAGGACTTAGGAGGGCGCAATACACCCACTTTCCCCTACATTGCAAGCAGGGCTGCGGAGTCGGAGTCGGAGTCGGAGTCGGAGTCGGTCGGAGTCGACATTTGTGACCGGAGTCGGAGTCGGAGTCGGAGTCGATTTTAGAAACCCGAGCCGGAGTCGGAGTCGGAGTCACCGAAAATCTGTCGACTCCGCAGCCCTGCTAGGTCTGCGGAGTCGGAGTCGGGAGTTGGAGTCGGTCGGAGTCGACAATTCTGCCCGGAGTCGGAGTCGGAGTCGGAGCTGGTTTTTGAAAGTCGGAGTCGGAGTCGGAGACGGAGTCGCCGAAAATCCATCGACTCCGCAGCCCTGATTGCAAGTGAAAATTCATTTGTATCAAAGGAGCATGGATTAGTGATTGCCCTATAAAGTTGAAGCTTGGTGACACCTTCAACATGCATGCGGCTCGACACCATCAGATGCTCTT